CACGGCTGGTGCTTGAAACATGTTGCTTGCGCATTTCACACCTCATGGCTTCATTGCAGCCCATAACTAGAGAAAATTGCAGTTGTAATTAGCCAATAAAAAGCTGTGTCTGTATCTGTGTTAAATGTGTCACACCTCCTCTTTCGTACCAGAAGATCTTAATGTGGCCATTACAAATCCTTTGACTGTTTCATGAAAACCTTGGGCAGGTTCCAGGAAGTATAATTTGTTTTGCGCATCAAGCTGTGTTGCATCAGCTAAAACGAGCGTGTGGATTGTACTTAGAAACACCACAGGTGCTCGTAAGTCCTTACACACACTGATTCAGCTGCGCTTTTGGCTCAGGGCACTGTTAATACATGTCATGGGTGGGGCGTTTCTGCACCGCTGTGCGCTGCTTCAGCAAAGACGGCCACTCAGGATTGCGGATGGCGCATCCAAACGTGAACACATGGCCAGAAGGCGCAGTGACAGACGCTGGTAACGGATGATGAAGCACAACTCTACACCTCATTGATTGTGGTCACACGACGGAAGGTTACTAGAGTACAAAACAAAGAAGCAAGTTCACTGCGAGGTTTCCCAAGTTGAAGTATATATTGTGCGTCAATAGCAATGTGTCAGCCTGTCGAGATTTGGAATAACATTTATGCTATGGTAGATATATTACCACTGCTGTTGGGCAGAGACTGCTTTTTACTATTTACATATAAAAAAAAAAGAAAGAAAAAAGTCAACAAGAAGGAATCATCCAATTAGAAATTAGTAATTAAGTAATTCATACTTAGTACTTAGTAATTAGTACACACACAATGTACACACAGACTTTTATTTTGGAAGCGATTAATTGCGATTAATCAATTTTACATCCCTAAGTGACAGTTAAAACATTTACAAATGTTGCAAAAGACTTCTATTTCAAATAAATGTATGTCTTTTGAACTTTCTATTAATCAAAGAAATTTGAAAAGATGTTACAGCTTTTTACAAAATATTAAGCAGAACAACTGTTTATAGCACATTTGACATTGACGACTGTAATATAATGGCTGCAAAAAATTCAGCTTCGCCATAACAGGAATAAATACAATTTTAAATGTATTAAAATGGAAAGCAGCTATTTAAAATTCTCATAATATTACTGTTTTTACTGTATTTTTGATCAGCCGTGGTGAGCATTAGAGACTTCTTTCAAAAACATAAAAAATAAAATTGTACTGACCCCAAACATTTGAATGGTAGTGTATTTATCGTTTTTGCACTGCTTATTCTTTATGATTCATCAATCATCATATTTCTTTTTTCTTTCATTTCCAAATACTAAGAGAAAATAATCAAATTAGATAAAAAAAAAAAAAACATTATTCCTGATCTTAACTCTTTACCGGCACATTATATTTAATATCTCTAAACCAGGGATCTTCAACAGTTCCTTGTTCAGTTAACAGTTTCCTTCCCAAATTAAAGCATATTAAGTATAATAAAAAATACAATGTCCAACTATATGACTCTGATCATTTTAATGCCTTTGCGTCATAAGAAAGTATGAAAATACATTAATATGGAACTATACACGTTTTGAGTGGTCCCTGTTATGACACTCCATCCACAGAAGGGTCCTTGACCTATGAACCATTTTGTGGTTGAATTTTCAGCAAATTTAACTACATTGTGATAAAGGATTTGTCATATTTTCCATCTCTGAAGTGAACTGACCTGGCCTGCCCAACCCTGTGACTACCAAAACCATCTAAAAGTGTAACCTGCATGCACTCCATTTTCACAATAAGGTCACAGTTACCGGTATATCATCTCTTCCCTTTTATTTGTCACATAAATTTTAATGGAATGAGCGTCTCTCTGGGGCAGTCACTCACTCCATGTCCTGCCACATACGTCTGAGGGTGTGAGACTGTGATGCAAGAGATGGACATTTCAAAAATACGCAAGCAAACAAGCACATACACTCTGGGACAAGAGGCAGTTGTTTCTAAGCAATGCTCATCTCTCTGCAATGCGTCAGGGAGGGCCTGACATAATCAATAACAGTACCAGTAGCTCTAAAATGCACCCAATCAGAAATTAAACAGAACAGTTGGATCACAGTGTGTGTTGCAGAGACATCTGTTGTAATCAAATCATGCAGGAACAATTGAGCAATAAGCTGGAATCTTATTTATTTTATTTCATTTTATTAAATAAAATAAATATGGAAATATGATCATTCACTGAAGTCTGACTGAAAAATATAAAATAATAATTTACAAAATCATATAAAATTCCAGCTCATTGATTTATTTTTCCAACATTTGATTACATTATTTTTTATTTTATTTTATTTTTTACTTTATTCTTATTTTATTTGCGTCTTCCACCCCTCTTGCCCTATTATTGCCATCAGTTTAAACATTTTTTAAACAGCTCTGCCTTGAATTTTATTCCAAGAGATTTCACAAACATTAATAGGAAATGTTAATGGTATCCTGCTGGGAAATTCCAGTGATTTTCTGAAAGGATGTGGAGGCCTTGTGATGTGCGGTCTAAAATTAAACAAGCCTCACTAGACTCATTTATGAAACGTGAACTTGATGAGTTCACAGACTAGACTAATTAGAAACACCCAAAAATATGATTTTAAATTAAAACGTTGCTTCAAAAATCTATGCAAATTTGACAGAAATGTGGCCAGAGGAAATGTAGAGAGCAAAGAATTTTTACACTCCTAGTGAATGCCTCAGTTGAAAGACTTGATGGTGCATTCAAAGACCAGTCAGATGAAGGAGGTTTTAGAGTAGCTGGACTGAACTCCCGCAGACAGAGACAGTTCGAGAGAGTGGCTCCATCAGAGGACAACTGTACTTACATCATAAGCTCCAGCCTTGATCTGCTGGTATAACTTGTGTTGATCTTCATCCCAAAACGGAGGATAGCCCACTAACAGAATGTACAAGATTACACCTGTGAAGGAAAGAAACAGAAAAGTATTCTGATTGGCTGACAAAAAGAATATTAGATTCCTAATGACTGACAGTGTTTATTATTTTTTTTCACATGTACAAAGTTCCATGTTGATAGCACTACAGTAAAATATCACTTTGAGTTGTGTGTAGGCATGTGACGGTATCAAATTTTCATGTTGCGATTAATTGCGAATGCTTTTATCACGGTATACGGCATTATCACGATATTGAAATGTAGTTGCAAAAAAAATTTCAAAGTTTTACAGGTTTTATAACTTTTTTCTTATAACAAAAAGAACTGAACATTTAAATACAATAAAGCAATACACAAAAAATCAATTAAAACATTTCACACAGATTAAAGTGCTAAAGAATTATAAATACCATTTACAGTGCAATCTCATAAGTTAACTTTAGTTAATGCATCAACATTAACAATGAGCAATAGCTACATTTGCTACAGAAGTTATTAATCTTTGTTAAAAAAACAACTGTTAGTTCATGTTAGCTCGGGTTCATTAAATAACACAGTAGCAACTTTTGATTTTAACAGCGTGTTATTAAATATTGAAATTAAGATGAATGAATGTTTAGAAGAATATTTCATTGGCAGTTTAACTAATGAAATAACTAATGTTAACTAATGGAGCCTTAATGTAAAGTGTGACCCAACAAAGAATCAAAACCTTTTCAAACAGTATCTAGGGCATGTTGTAGTCCAGATTAAAATGTACAAAAATTTTGAAAATAAATAGCCTATTAAGTTGCTGTGAAGAACACTGTAGCGAATACAAAAATCTGAATGGCTATTTAAATCATTTAAATATGTTTCGGAAAGTAGCGCAGCTGCTTTGTTTCCGGGGTTTGGGGTAACGGCTGCATTTCTGCTGTTTAGCGCCATCTGCTGTCAGAGAGTGAATGTGCACTTTCATTCAGTGCGTCTCCTTCACGCGTTCCACCATGCGCTTCTCCCATGCTTGTTTACATCAGAGTAAACGGGTCTTTTTTGAAGCAGCATATAGCTGTGTTGTGCATTGTGACCAGTTGATGGGAAAATTATTCTTAAAATGCATTAAAAAAAATCTGAATAATTTGTAAATAATTATTCATGGTAATTTGAAGTTTTGAAAAAGGGTTTAAGGTTCAAAAAACACATTATTTTCCACATACTTTACAGTACTGTTTCTCCTCTATGCCCCACCTTTCTGAAACGCAGTGATTTTTACAAAGCTCATCGTTCTGAAAAGCGAGGTGTGCTCTGATTGGCCAGCTATCCAGTGCGTTGTGATTGGCCGTGTCCTCTTTTGGAAGGCCAAACAAAGTATTTTTGCTTTCGCAACTAAACACACAGCATCTTCACAACATGGAGGCGGCAGTGGCAGCCAGCAACAATAAAGTTACGCCTTCTTTCTTTGCGTGAACATTTAGGCAGTGTTATGCAAATCTTCCCACATCGTGACGTAGACATGTGGGGGCGTGGACAAGTCTTAACTTTTTTAAAGAATATCTCTTTGGGTTTGACACTTTAGTCTTTGCAACTTTAGGGATCTTTTCTATTCACGAACAGCTTGTAACACACCAAAGAGAAAGGAAAACTTGAAATCGCATCATATTTTGGACCCCTTTAAGTCCAAATGGTAATTTGTTTTGTAATAATGTTTTACATAAAACCCCAACATTGTTAACTAGTACCTAATCATCATCTTGTTACTTCATGTGAAACTTGCAGCCTTAACCTGACTGATGTCCTTGTTTCAACCGATGGTGCTTCACTCAATATTTGCTTCAAAAAGCATGTATTCCAAAAGACTGTGTTGACAAACAGATCTACCGTACATTTAAACCCTATTTTCTGCTGAGTTCAGCAGCAAAAACAGGCTTGGTGCCGAAACTCTACTCAGCACTGCACTGCGAACTTAAGCAGTATGAATACTGCAACCTGTTAATACAGCAAGCAGAATGAATATGCAAGAGGTCTAATGATTAAAGACCCTGTTGAAAACTCACCACAGGCCCAGATGTCCACAGGTTTGCCGTAGGGATCCTTCCTCAACACCTCTGGAGACAGGTAGCCAGGTGTGCCAGCAAAACCTGTGACAAAAACAGGTTGAATTGACCATTCTGTACTCTGAGAATAAGATTAAATGGATTCAAACCGCAGGCGCCTGTAGGCAAAGTAGCTCAGCCAATTAATATTCACTGAAATGCTAATAATTCCAAGCAGGTGTGTGTGGATAGTTTGATAGATGGATTTTTCCATACGCCAGAATCATTTCGAGCCAAAATGGTGACGTGCCAAGATGGCTGCCTCCCTCCAGCACTGGCACGACTGAAGCGGGCTGGAAATAGGTGGATTTTAAACAGCTGCGGTAACATAATTCTGTGCTGTCCAATCATATAGCTTGTATACAACAATTATTCCTACTCGCAAGGCTTTGCTCTTCACAAAACTCTGCATACTTCAGTCAAAACAAGATTACCTATTTAAAACTAAAGAAAGCTGTACTGATACTTGATTAGCACTAAAGCAACCGCTATCTCATGGCAGCAGAAATAAGCAGCCACCAGTAGGGGGCCACAAGGCCCGAGAGAACCCTGCCTGACGGTTTTATCCAGTAGAGACCGCTCAGGAGAGGCATTTTCATAGCTAAAGGGTATTTCACACACCGACAGGAATGATTGTGAAAGCTAAACATGAAATGGGCTACGATTGGCATTCGGCACAGCCTGAAAATAAGCTTTTACGGCCATCCCAATCCATTTCAGACCAGAGGTAATAGAGCGGAAAATGCGGCAACATCCTTTTAAGATCAACTAAAAGAACATTACAAGAGGGAATCAGCACATAAAATCCTCACTAATATAGAAAATCCTGTCAAATCTAAAGCAACAGCAGTAAAAATGCAAAAATGTGTGGAAAGTCTAAAAAGTATTCACAATTGGTCAAAACCACCCACAACATCCTAGCATAATGGGGACAAGCATCACATTTAAATCTAAAAATCCCCAAAAGTGCTTGTAAGTGGTAGGAAAAATGTTTGAATAGATGTTGTAATTACAAATAGCTAAATTAACAACAGCTCTTGAGCTCCTCACAAGTATAAGTTTGTCTGAGATGTAGAATTAGAGAGATCTTTCCAGAGATATAGGGATTTCATTGTGGCTAAAATAGTGGTTTAGTTAGTAAATATACACCCATGATATTCAATATTTGCTTTCACTACTATTTATGTTTGTCTTTCCTCAGAAAAAAATATGAACAAAATCAAAAATGTGAGCTGGGGAAGTTTCTAAAATATGGCTGATTTGACACGAAATGACCAAAAAGTCTTTGTAAGAAGTATCCGAGCATATCAAGAGTAAGGAAACACCAGAACTACATACTAGCATGTATTTTAGCATGCTGTTTTACAGGATTGGAATCAAACTGAGGGGAATAATAAATGAGAGCAGAAAACTTGTTGTTCTTTACCAAACCAGGCCTGCTGATCTCCCTGCACCTCGATGGCCAGCCCAAAATCAGCCAGTTTCACTGCCGCTCCTTTCATCTTACTGGCCAACAGCAAGTTCTCGGGCTGAGGAGGAAAACACAGGAAGCCTTTAACACTCACAAACATTTCAAATGGACTGAAAAGAGAGGTTAAAAAGATACTCTAGGATTGACAATGCCCAGCGTGTGGTGCAAAGCTGGACATTTTACTGGTGGTGAATGTTAAATCTAATGGAACGTTTACACTGACAGCAATTTGTAACATCAAAGCGACTAACACCACTTAGTCAGAGTTTAAGCAATTTCTACAAATACAATCTAGCTATATCCCAAAAAACTGAGAAATGTAAGTTTATGCAATGTGCAGCTATGTGATGTGGTGACTACCAATTTACTTGTCTAATAAAGATTTTCATTACTGTAATTTTTAATTAATAAAGGTATTACAATAAAAACATTTTAACCGAAATAATATACACAACCGTTCAAAAGTTTGGCGTTGGTACAGTTTTTGAAAGAAGTCTCTTATGCTCACCAAGACTGTATTTATTTGATCAGTAAAACAGTAATACTGTGATATTGTGTAAATATTACTGAGGTTAAAAATTCAAAAATTAATTTATTCCTGCGATGCAAAACTGAATTTTCAGCATCATCACTCTAGTATTCAGTGTACCATGATCCTTCAGAAATCACCGAAATATGCTGCTTTGGTGCTCAAGAAACATTTCTTAAAAACAGTTGTGCTGCTTAATTTTGTAGAAACCATGATACATTTTTTTCACAATTCTATGATGAATAGAAAGAGCAAAAGAATTGATTTAAAATGTAATTATAAATATCTTTACTGTCACCTTCAATCAAATTAATACATCCTTGCTGCATTAAAAGTATTAATAAAGTATTAAAAAAAAATGAACCCAGACTTTAGAACAGTAGTGTATGTCAATTTTAAAAATGACAGTAGTGAGAATATGATAATGAGAATTAGAAAAAATGTGTTTAATTAATTGTACTAAACATAATGATACAAAAACTATTACCCAAAAATAAGGCTAATTTTCTTTTCATTTTCCTTTTTTTTTAATTTGAAATATGACTGAGACATGAATTTAAGTTCACAAGTAACATTAAGACATCCAGCAGAAGTAACACCTACAAAACCAACAATACAGACACTTTGCGACCTGCAACACTAAGTGTGAACACTCATTTAAAAAAGTACATCACAAGCAGATGTGCAGATGTGTCAGAGCCAAACCTGCTCAGTAGGATATGACAGATTTTGGGGGTCAAAGATCTCTCCACAGGTAATTGAGTTTATACATGGCTTAAAGGTTAAGCACGACTGAATTGTGTTTGCTTTACTACCACATTTACGCTGAGGAAATATTAGGGTGGATTTCCTGCGGTTTTGTCAGTGCTCCAAATTTGAAATCAAACACAAACATGCATTAATATCCAAGAGCTTCAAGTACAAAACCAAGAGAAGAGGCCCAGAAAGATATATTAGGCACAATGGAGGGCTTTCACACTAAAATATAGGCTGGAAAAGTCGATTTCCCCTACGTTCTCGAATACACAACTCAATAAGCTTGATTTATTAGCTGCCACACATATATCTTCTCAATGCACAGAGTTCATCCTCGAGTTCTACATTCAAGCACAGAATTCAAATGCATCCGTTATGAGGATGCTGGGAAATTTATGCCCATAGGTGTGAATCTCTCACTCTCCCTCATTAAACGCACAGACTACAAATGAGTAATGGTGAGACTCGCCGTGACCCCTCCCCACATCCCTCCGTCTCTCAGGCAATACCAGCAACAGTTGTCGTATCACGTTCCTTGCTATGGCAACCAGCCTGGGCACATCTCTGCTGCTCAGCATTGGGCTCACATACACACGGGGGAGGGCAGTGGATGTGACTAACGCACAATAGGAGGACATGATAAAACTGTGTCTGTATGCGTTATCCAAGACATGCCACCGTCAAGACAACAAGTACATTCATTTGAGACACAAAGGCAAAGTGTTTGATGTTTATGCATGTACTTGATTCATATGGTAATATAATGAATTGCTTAACGGGTACTGTTAAAAAAAAAGAGAGTATTACTTTAAACAAAGCCAATCCCAGGGTGATTCTTTGTCAACTCAACTAGAGGTCTTTTTTTCTGGTTAAAAAAGAAATACATAAATGAAGAAGATTTTGTAGAGGGGGGTCAAAATGACAATTTTCACCTGAGATTCTGAGCCAAATTACAGGGATTATAGAAGCTTTTGCAATCTTTGTTGCATTATATGCCAATGGTGACCGTTCAAAAATGGGCAAAAGCACATCTTTTGTTTATATGCTATAACTCGAAGTATTAGAGTATTATCTTAAGTTTCTTTTCTGGGGAAGTTTCTCAAATTGGGTTGATTTGACATGTAATGACCCAAAAGTCTTTGTAGCAAGTATCTGATTATGAAATTAAACAGAAATGAAAAAGCAGAAGTATGTACTATCATGTGCTTTCACATGCAGTCTTAAAGGATTGAAATCAAACGGAGGGGAACATTGTTGTACGTGTATATCTGTGTGTTTGTGTGGGGCAGGGCAGGGCAGGGCATTGACTTGGAAACCCTCAGAGGCAGGCCGGTTGCCATGCGTGTAGTTGTTGTTGCGACAGACTCTCGCTCACCTTAAGGTCTCTGTGCACGATGTCATGCTGGTGAATATGATTGACACTCTCCAGGATCTGATTGATGCACTGGCTGAAAAACAGAATAATAAATCCATCAGTGGAAGAGAAAGATCATAAGGATAAGTGAGAGGGTGAGATAAGGCTAAATATTGATTTTAACCATTTATTTGTACTGTATACAAAAGTCAGTTTCCTTATATTTACCCTCTTTTTTACTTAACTTTGCCATCTCTGAAAGGTGCAGTTTTCCACAAGTTATATGGAGTAATTTAACAGTTTGTGTGTGTGTTCTTTTGAGAACCCGACAGCCCCTGGTTATATGTAAGAAAGAAACAAAAAAACGAATAGATTCTTCAAAATTTCTCCTTTATGCCAAAGAGGGAAAAAAAGCCATATGGGTAGCTGTACGGAACAACATTTTCATTTTTGGGTGAACAACACCTTTGAAAATACACTATATTTAAAGAGTATTCTGCAGTTGATACCAGATATAATACAGTTTATATTAAAACAGCCATTCATAAAATTGCCAAACGAGAAATGCTTCCACAAAAATAAATCATATTAAAGTATATTACTGAAAATCAGTTATACAGTCTTATATTATACAGTAATTTTGTAAAGAAATAAAGTCTGTAATTGTAATGCTTGATTAAAGGCTTGATTAAAATTAATTGATTACGGTAAAGTTAATCAACAGCGTCGGCTTGACAATTCAATTAAGCAATTAAATTAAACACCATGACTGGATAATTGATGCTACATATGAATGTACCACTGCTGCTTTAACAGACAGAGCTGGGGTCAAGTGTAATGTGACTGAGGCACATAAGGTGAGCTGAGCAGGGGATTGTGGGATAGCTGGGGTGGGCGTTACTCTTGGAAAAGCGCCTCACCCTCAGACAAGTACACACACATGCACACGCGTTATCTCATCCCTCTTAAAGCTGTAATCCTATAACAGAATGTTATAGAGGCCTAACCGGGACAGATGAACCAGAATGTGTGTGTGTGTGTGTGCGCGCGCGTGCGTGTGTTTGAGTGTTGCTGTGGTGTCATGCTACTTTATAGATACTTAGTATTAATGTGAAATTATGCATGACTTCCTTTAGATCCTTATTGAATTTGTTCTGAGGAAATGGCACAGATGATGGTTGGGACATGAATGTGCACATCAGACTTCTCGACATAGGTCACGACATTGTCTGTTTAAGCAAAACAGATGGATTTTTAAACAATAAATTAGATATTATATTGCATTATATTAACTTGACATTTGCTGTGTATTTAAATTGCTATATAAATTATTATATTACTAAGCTGTCTATCTGTTTTGCTGTAATAATATAATAATATAATATAATATATAAATTATTTTACCACAGTAATTATTATATTATATAATATTATTATAAACTTGGCCCGTGCTGACTCATACCATGTATAATATATCAAATTTCCTATTTGCTATTTAAATTATTATACTAAGTTATCCATGTTTTTTCTATAATATAATATATAATATAATATAATATAATATATAAATTATTGTTTTAAAGCAAAAATTTTTTTTTGTTTAAATAAATAGATATATATTACATTCATTATTATAATTAGAATTATATTAATTCCAGTGACAACAAGCAACTTGTCATTTTACAATGCCTTGTTAGGACATGCCACAAGGAACGAGTGAGTGAAAATGGAGTATATGAGATAAGAAAGTAGACTGATAAAGACCGTTGGGTATATTAATGTTACAAAAGAACACAGAAGCTATTTGCCCAAATTTGGTTAATTTTTAAGCCCAGCATTCCATTTTCAGGACAGCACAAATCCCACTGGACACAAAAGACCTGTCTCTCTCTATTTCACACACATATAGAGTACATCAGAGGCGGACAGTAACTAAGTACATTTACTTGAGTATTGTACTTAAGTACACTTTTTGTGTATCTGTACTTTACTTGAGTATTATTTTTTCTGGGAACTTATGACTTTAACTTCACTACATTGCAGTATCTGTACTTTCACTCAAGTAATGGAGTTCAGTACTTTGTCCGCCTCTGGAGTACATGCACATACACACACAAATAAGACAGCTGATCTCTTAATAAAACACCTCTTTTCCCCACTCACCCTCTTTTTATCTGTCTTTACCTATGCGATATCAAAGCTCTAAACTGGCATCACGCAACTCTTGTAAACCAAATTTACCATGAACTCCCGTATGAGCGCATTAAAACACAGCTAACTGCTGGAGGGTGTTTGTGTTGGATGCCTGGGGCTTTAACTTAGAATCAGAGTCCCTCAGAGACTTACACACTCGCTGCTGGTTCCTGAAGACACTGTTCAAAGTGTGTCATTTCTATGTTACCAGATTTTCCACTTTGAGAAAGCTGTTTAGGAAGAATCTTCATGTTTGCCGTTCAGTGGCGGTGCTGCTAGTGCTGCGGAAGTGATGCACTCGAGAGGAGGGGCCAACAGAGGCCAAATGGATGCGCTTTTGTGTGGCACCTGTTGATTGCCAGTTCTGCAACTCCACCATCATTAAAGGCTTTCAGTTTTTCTCACAAAAGGGATCGTCCTCTCTCTGTGCTTTTGAATCAGATGTGTGTGTGTGTGTGTGTGTGTGTGTGTGTGTGTGTGTGTGTGTGTGTGTCTGTGTGTAAGTGTGACCTGCTCACTGCAGGCTGCAGCACAGTAACCACAGCAACAGTAAATTGGAGAGCCCACCTTGCGTCAGCTTCACTGTAATACTCTCTGGCGACGATGTCCTCAAACAACTCCCCCCCAGTCACACTGCGGAAAGAGAGAGGGGGAAAACAGTGAAACAAGGGATGAGAGAGTGGAGAGTGTGATGGGTTTTGGGCTAATTTGGCCAGTAGCAAGAGGCAGAGCCGACATTTTACACTTACGTAAACATGATTGCAAATATATGTGATGCTACAGTAAAACAAGTGTGGCCTGATTATACTATATATATACTGTGTATATCATCAGATGCAGGGATGCAGTTATAATTTTACCACAGTAACCATAGTTTGAAACAAAATACAAGAGGCAATACAAGACAGTGGTGGCTCTTACAAAGTTTTACTGTAGTAACCTGTGGTATTTTAGCAAAAACTGGTCAATTTTGGTTGTGCAAAACACAGAAGGAAATAAAGTAAAAAATAAAATAAATATTAATAAATATAAATTACTAAAATCAACAACAACAAAAATTACAGTAATAATAACTGCAATTACTGTACAACAAATGTATTAATAATAATATTTAAAAAAAAAAATTAAAAAAAATTGTATTCATATAACTTTAATAGTCTTTTACATTGCAATAAAACTAATTTCCAAAAAGTAAATGATATTTTACATTAAAAAATAAGAAATAAAATGTTAAAGAAAATGATAGAATAATAAAAGAAATTGTTTCACTCTATACTGTATATATATATATTAAGCAGCACAACTGTTTTTTAACTAATAATAATAAGAAAAGTTTAATGAAAGTTTAATTGAATCAAATCAGCATATCAGAATGATTTCTGAACGATCATGTGACACCGAAGACTGAAGTAATAACTGCTAAAATGTTTCCTTTGCATTACAGGAATAAGTTAAATTTTAAAATATATTAAAATAGAAAACAGTTCATTTAAACAGTAGTGCACAATATATTGTGAGGGTGGAGTGCAGTTGGCACTGAGGTGTGCACGAGACATAACAGGAACATTTGTAGCTCAGCCTTTGTTCCACATAAATTGAGTTCCACAATGACGCATGGAAAAATCAAAGTGCACTGGACTGGTTAAAACCAGGACACAATCAAAGAAACAACAATCTTGACAGCACTAAATCGCATTTATAGGGCCACCCAGAAATGTCTACCCATCAATTTTGCTGGCAGATCCCATCAAATTGAAGGATATATTTTTGACACCCGGGAAGGTGCATACAAGACGTTTTTGTCAAACATATTTCAGCTGCATTTATCTGCCTGCAGGAATGGGGCTTCTGACATGATTCACTGGAACAAAATGTCTTGGGTTTGATAACTTGTCCATCCTGATTCAAAAAGCGGGAAGCACCTTACAGTCTTTGAGAGTTAAAAACTCATCTGAATACAGAAACTAGCTCCAATTCAAACAATGTTATTTTAATTTTATATACTATTACAGTATTTATTCATAATTTTAATTAGCTGTTATTTTTTCAGCATTTTTCTTTTTAAATGTAGTTTTAGTAATTCTGTTAATTTTTTTGTCACTTTTATTAGTTACATATATATTATAATGTTTTATATATATATATATATATATATATATATATATATCTTTAATTAATTATTATTTAGGTTTAGTAATTTTAGTATTTCTACAATTCTGATATTTTATTATTTCTTTATTTCAATTACCAAAACCAAAGATGGCTTCTTTTTGCTGAATTATTAATAAAATATATAAAAAAATTTTTAAACATAATGTACCATTTTAAAAATTGTACCATTTACCCAATATTTGAGTGTATGTTTATACTTGCATAGTATCACATCATAAAATATCAACATGTTAACGCCAACACTTTACTGAAATCATGTGTTTACCCATGCACTTTGTGTCACTGCCTATGTAGAATATTTTAACCCTCTACCGCATGGTGTGGCCATATGGCAACATACGCTTTGTGTTCATTTCCTTGCCACTGTCTCTTTAAGAGGACATTCTCGTTTTTTTTTGTTGGAAAGAGAAGACCTTAGTCTAGCCAATGATGTGCTTTGATTAAGTCACATGACATGCAGTTTTTTTCTGTGGCGAGATTTCTGACAGACTGCCGTCTCTTGTGGGTAGTTGCTGAAAGCAAACTAAAACGTCAGTAACAAGCAAGGACCAGTCCGTGTCACTTCTACAAAAAAATCTAAAACATCACTGTTATGATGTTATGATGACATATTCACCTCTCAAAAAAGTTTTTATAAAATTAGTTTTTGGTAAATCACTCAAATGTATGTGTTGCCAAGCGGTTGCCAAGCATGTTGTCTCATGTTCATAGTCTTCCTCTCATAAGATTGCGTAATGCTGAATTTTCATGAACTGCAATGTTTTATGTCAATGTTTTATGATACATGATATACAGTATTATATTTGTTTTAACTGTATAATTTTGCAGTTTAAATAATATTCATGAAAAATTTAATGAAATTAAAAAATGATAAATCATTATTCAGCAAAAAAGAATAGAATAAATAAAAGCACAAGTTGTTGGAAAGTATGTATAAGGTGTCAATTATAAGTACGGTGTTAAAGCTTATAATAGCACCAATTGAATCAACACAAACAACATTTCTGAGAAAAAATATTAACTATAAGTAAGCTTACACTTATTCTTAGCTAGATCCACTATTGTATGCTGTTGCCGTATGGCAACACATCACAAAGTACCTTAAAATAATATATTTTTCCCAATTTTTTTTTTTACAGCACTTCAAGTTAAGCCATTCTCAGAAAAGAAAAATATTTAAATATTTTTTTCTATAGGTCTATCATAATGCGTGCGGTAGAGGGTTAAATTGTTTATTTATGAGGTTTCATTTCAGTTAAGAATGCTGTCTTAAAAGGCAGTTACCTATGTAGGTAGCGAGATAGCTCACTGGGTTTTGAAACAGAGCCTATATTATTATCATCATGTCTCAAGTTACAGTACAGCATATACTGCTGAGTCACAAGGCACAGATGTGTGTGTTTGTGTGAGTTTCGGTCATACTCACAGGTCAAAGACCAGGTAATGGAAACCTTCTTCTGAGATACTGTCATGGAGCCGAACTGGGGTTGAAAAGACACAACAGGAGAATCAGCATTAAACACAGAGATAATGCATTATGAAAGCAAATGTTTTTAATGCGGGAAATCTTGAGCATTCTTCACTCCATCACACAGTGTTCATAACAACATCTGATGAGAACATGCGGCATATGTCCAATTACACGCTATTATAGTGTATTACAATTATGAAGCACGTTTACAGACCTAAGTTAACCATAATGAGCACATGGCCAAATGAAATATCAAAAAGAGGATCCATCGAAAAGAGAGAGAGAGGATGGATGACAAGCTCACTTATGTACACAAGCAGTGTGTCACGTAGACAGTGACACACACCGAGTGTATTGGGTTGGGGGTTGGATGGAGAAAGAGAGAGTGAGAGAAAAATAAGGAGAGAGTTGAGTAAACACTGCCCAGAATAGCAGGGGCCTTATGAGAGTGCTGAGAGAAAGAGCAACATAGCAACTAGTTGGAGGAGGGAGGGAAAGAGACAGAGGGTAAATAACAGAGGGATTGAGGCAAATCTGATGCTGGAAAATACATATATTAGATAAATTACATCTACATTATTAGCGTAATGCAGCGAGTCAATAGTCCTCACAATGATTGTTTGACAAGCAAGGCCCGAGCATGTTGACACTGGGACTGCAAACACGAGCTGCCATCACGTCAGTAATTACAGAAGCTCGAGTTTAATAAAGTCCTAAACATTCAGAGAGAGGTTAAATACAGTGTACTCTGTAAAGTGAGGTATACCGATATTAAGCAAGATACAATGTATGACAAGACTGGAAGCCATTTAAGTGGATGGAAACACGTTTGGCTGCAATATTATTGGCCATATTTAAGGTGAAGGTCATTTTAAGGCGATTTTTCTGTTAAAATACTACACGGTTCCACTTCAACTTACAAATTACACTCAGAAAGTGTAAACATTGTAGTGCTTTCAAAACACTGCTCTGTTTGAGCATCCCAACCAGCAACATGGGTTTAACCAATGGCATTAGTTTGGAGGCGGAACTATCTGTTTTTTTAAACCAATGGAAGAGAGGGAAGCATTCAGGGATCTGTTTAACATTATTGCCTTTATTTTTTACAATATTAAACAACACTTTCTTGTTTCTAACTTTTCCAATTTATTATTAATAATAATAATAATACTAATAATAATTTGAAGTGTGGAACAACAGTATCAAAAATTACATTTAATTTAATTCAAATATAATTAATATAGTAATAATATATCAATTCTTGCAACCAAGACAGGAGAAGTGTTCAGGAAACCTGTTTGAAAATAGTCATTATTTTTTGCAATTTTGTTCGTGCAGAAATTACTCATTTCACCTCTAATTTTATTTTTTCAATTTATATAATAATAATAATATTAATAGCATTAATAATAATCATAATTATTATTATATCTATCAGCATCATCATTACATGTGTCACCTTCTTAATATATTTTGAATTTAATAATAATAATAACTATTATTAGTAGTGTTCAATTTCTGTGCCTAACAAAACACACACACACAGGTTTTTGTGAATTGTGGGGACATTCCATAGGCGTAATGGTTTTTATAGAAATACACATTAGTGTGTCAACTGCGCCAGTAGCAATGAGCACTCAGTCCTCTCTCCTCTTTAACCTATCAGATGGTCTCTCTCCATCTCTCTTCCTTCACTGGCTCTATTGTTCAGCACTTATGTGCAGCCCAAGCAGAAAACATGACAAGCTGTCCACTTGAGGAGAGATGACAGAAGAGAAAGTAAAGGAGAGAGAGAGTGATACAGGTGATGGAGCAGGAGAAAGGGGATGGCATCGGCTGAGGGGGAACAGAGATGCGAATAAGAAAACACATCCGATGCAAAGACGGTGAGATAGTGGGAAAAAAAGAGGAAGGAGTGAAACACAGAGAATGGAGGAGGAAGACCCTGGATAGAGTGTGAAGTTGAGGTCAAGGGTGGGATACGACTCAAAATGGTGTGGAAGATGCCAGACAGTAGAATTACAGACAAGTAAACAACAGCGGAAGTTGAGTTATATAATATTCAATGAACATAATTAAAAGTTCAAATACTATTCTTTTGAACTTTCTATTCATCAAAGAATCCTGAAAGCATTTTGTCACATTTCCCACAAAAAATATTATGCAGCACAACTATTTTTCAACATGAAGAAGAAGAAGAAACTGGAGTGATGGCTTATATATTAAAATACAAAAGTTGTTTGACATTATACTTTCCCACAATAAATCAAATAAATGCAGTGTTGATGAACATAAGAGACTTCTTTCAAAAACATTAAAAGATCTTTGAGGTTTATTTTAAGATTATTGCCTATGAATTGGTAGCATGAGACATACAACATGAATTTTCAAAAGAGTTTGAGTCAGTGTTGTTTAATGTTTTTTCATGCTGCCAAATATTTTCTGAAATAATTTTACACTATTTTAACACTTTAAAAAACCCTCAAAAATACTGAAAAATAAACGATAAATGGTATAAATTGTGAAATGTGCATTTTTAAACTTAATCAGCCAAGCAGGCAAAAGCAATAATCTCAAAATATATATTAGGGATTACGTTACAGAAACTCCCTGTCTCAAGTCTTCTATCCTAAATGAGATTCTTACTGAAATCACCATGGTTACCAAACAGATAAGACAGGATTCTATAGTGGGATGTTTCTGTAATACGGCCCCAGGGGTATAAATATATAACACGGTATGAGTAATTATCACAGTAATATAACAGAATATATCACAATGTAATTATTTTTGTTGAAAATTTAATAAAGAAAAATGGCTTATATTTTAATAACCATGATCCAAGTAAATATTCCAGTGAGACCCTTCCATTTAATTATTCTCTCTTATTATTTGATACTTGATGAACACAAACCGAAAGATAAGATTACTAACAATTAACGAACATCTAATACACCCTAATCTCAAGCAGGCATGTCTTCCTTCATCTTCTTAGTGGTTTTCTTGCACTCTCTCGCCTCTGAGCTCATTGGTGATAATGACGGTATTTGGGCTGAACTGCTGCCCACCAGCATCTCCCACCTCAGCACAGTTATTTATAGAGCTCCACTCCTCTTCTATTGCTCTCCATCTCTCTCTGCTGCTCTCTCCATCCCTCTACCTTCACCTCTTTCTTTGTCGCCATCGCCCCCATCTCGATGGCTCTGCTGGGTTTTTTTTTTTTTTTTCAGGTGTTCTGCCCCCTTAGGTCTTCTCCTCATTCTACCGATCAGTCTCTCCCACTTTCTGTCTCCACACCTCATTCTAATTCCCTCTTTGCTTTCTTATTCATTCTCCTATTGCTGCCTACTAAATTCTGCTCTTTATTAGCTAATTTTTCCCCTCACAGTTCATTTTGTTCTGTAAGACAATGAGTTTTGGGAGAGGCTGTTCTGCAGGACATGGTATGTTTTGCTGCAAAAATACTTCAACCTAATTCAGTCCCACCAGCTTACACACACACACACACTCATAAACACTCACAAAGCTGCAGATGCTCACTGCGACAAACTCACATGTACACCACCATTTGAAAGTTTGGACTAAATTTAATGTCTCATTTAAAAGTTTAGGGTTGGTAAGATTTATTTATAATGTATTTGAAATATGTCTCTTATGAACACCAAGGCTGCATTTATTTCATCAAAAATGCAGTAAAACAGTAATATTGTGAAAGATAATTCCAGTTTCAAGTAGCTGTTTTCTATTTTAATATATTTTAAAAAGTAATTTATTCCTGTGATGCAAAGCTGAATTTTCAGCATAATTACTCCAGTCTTCAGTGTCACATGATCCTTCAGAAATCATTCTGATTATTAAAGTTAAAAACAGTTGTGAAGCTTAATGTTTCTGTAGGATTCTTTGATGAACAGAAAGATCAAAAGAACAGAATTTATTCGAAATAGGAAGTCTTTACTGTCACTACTGATCAATTCAATGCATCCTTGAGGAAAAAAAGAATTAATTTCTTTCGAATTGACCCGACTTTTGAATGATATTGTATGTTTTGTTACAAAATGATATAAAGAGTTTGTATGATGATATGAAAATGATATAAAGGTTTGTAAACATATAAACACCGCATAAATATTTATTTCAAAAAAATATTTTTTTAAAGGCTGAGATGGACTAGAAAAACAGCTAAAAACATCTAATGATGCACCTTATAAAGTTTGTTGAGAGAATGACTAGAATGAGCAGAGCTACAAACTAGACATGATCTTGAAGCTCAAAGATAAAATAGCTTTTAAATTGTTAAACATTTTTAGAACTCATAAATGATCCCATACTTCAAATATTCTCATTTGTAGTTTTGATGGCTTTATTGTTACTCTAAAATTAAAAAAGAGATCATAATGAAGATCAAACTCACCAATATTGGGGTGTTTGAGTAGACGACAGATTCGGGCCTCACGTTCCAGTTTCTGATGATCTGCAGAGGAAAAAGAGAGGGAGAAAAGCAGGTCAGATATTTGAGGTGGCTGATGGCTTGTTCTCAGCTATAAAATAAAAAGGACACCTCATCTGAGGTGCGAGCAGCTCTGTCCTCTCCTCCGAGAAGAGAGAACATTTTTCCATAGGGGTCATAGATGTGAACCGCAATGCTGGCGAGTTAAGGGGGAATAAACAATTCAGAGATCATATACATAATATTAATTAAAAACAAAAAAAATACAATTAAAATAAAATAAAATGAAAAAAATTTAATAAAATTAAAGATGCAATCTACATGCAGAAACTTAATCCTAATATTATATAATATATAATAATATTCATATATGATTGTATCGGCAAAGCCCTAAAAAGACTGCAGAAATATATCCCAACTTATCCAAGGTTTGTGACTTTGGTCCTGTCATGGTAAGATACTGTAAATCGTGTGTGTGTTTGTAAGAGTGGGGGTGAGGTTCAAGCTAATCTAGGGCTTATTACTGAAACAAGTAATACGGTTGTGTGAGCTCGAAGGATGAATGTTGTGTAAAATTAAACAAACAAGCTCGAGGGCTCATTTCTTCTCACTTGCAACACACACACACCACAAGCGCAGGAGTCTAAATAGCAGCTCGATGTCTTGACTGGGGTTTATTCATCTTCTCAATGTAAAAATCACCCACTATGCACTGCTGGAGGCCAGTGAAACTGGATGTGATTCCTATTTTAGAAGAAAATAATAGGCTTTAATGTCAAATAAACAATGTTTTGACAGATTATACTCAGACAGGCTATACCAGCTTACGAGATCCTTGCAGATCAAATATTAAACCTGCTTTAAACTTAACTGCATGAAATAATATTTATTTTTAATCAGTAATTGTATTAGGGTTTCCAGCTCTAAAAGATCTAAACATCCTTAAAACTTGATCAATTTACATTTAAATTTACAAATGACCTCATTGGCAAAAAGCGTTGCTTGTTTCTTGCATAAATGTATCAAACTACATGACACACTAATGTGTATTTCTCTTTCACTCAGCTAGTCATGTCAAATAAATAAAGTTAAAAATGCAGTTAATTCAAGACATTTTCTATTAGTTTTAATGTAGAAACATGCTTTGAAACAGTATGTATTGTGAAAAGTGTTGTAAAAAAAAAATGAATTAATCATTAGTGTACACTAATCTGCTTTCTTGTCTTGACAACAAGATAAAAATACCTTTACCAAGTTGGAAAATATAATCGGTTATATAAATATCAAGTTAATATCAGGGCTATCTCAAAGGTCTCAGACAAGTCATGTCCTTATCCCATGTTAACTTGCATCGGCTTGTGTCATCTTGCTTTGCCGTCACCACGTACATGAAACATCATCACATCCAAACCTGCCACTTCTGAACTCTGTCCCTAGAAACTGTGTCATTACTTAAGCAATCAGAAATGGAGTGACAATTGCCAATATGAAGAGAAGAGTGAGACGAATATTACCACATCACTACTTGCATGTGCATGTGCAATCGGCATGGACAATGTAATACTGACAGCTTTCATCCACCCAGATCTCTGCAATAAACACATCAACTTGAGTCAGCCTACAAATATTAATGCGGTCTAATCTGACGTGCTTAAGCAAGAGTCTAGCTCACCTCCTAACTGGCTCTGGTCCAAAACCTAGTGGGTTGCCTACGTAGGCAGCATTTTAAGGTGTGCTCTTGACATGAAGACTGCTCCAAAATGTAGGCAGCATAAAAGACACCTTCTTTCTGTCAAACTCTAAAGGCAGAATTGCATGTATCATTCACAGAGAGGTCAATACCAGCATGCAGGAGAATGATAACATCGAGGTCTGTTGAAATTAATTGTTAAAAAACGATTTGCTGCCTATGTAGAGTGTTCCAAATCGCTCGCTTATGAGGCTTCAGTCAAAATGCTCCCTTAGAAGGTAGATAAGGTTTTGGGAACTGAACTATAGAAACAAATATAGAACTTTTTTTTTTATGTAAATGTTGTGCTTTTGTAAAAACCCATTGAAACCATGATTCTGTCCGATTATTACATTTTATAAAATGGCACTTTTGAAAGGACATGTAATACAAAACACACCATCTAATCAACTTAACAAGCACATCTACTGGAAGCTAAGTGCCCTTTTTGATTCGGTCGTTGGTTTGATTGAACGTGTTATTTGATTGCGCACGCATGCATCCATTATAATTTTCCACATATTGTGAACTCCTGCTTTTTTAAAATCTTTATCACTAGCCCGTTCTGTCTTGTTGACTTTCTTTCTCTCTGAGCTAGATTATGTGTTAGCCTTTCACACATGCAAACACACACACACACACACACACACACACACACAGCAGACATGCTCCAAGCTAACAGGATTACATCCTCTCCCATCTTGCCCTATGACCCAGTGGAAGATTAACCCTTAGCATGCCGCTGGCACAAATACTGTTTTCCTCCACAGCCCTTTCACTGCTGGCCAACACTGACCACACACACTCCAACCGCAGAAGCAGAAGAGTGCCAAGATGACACCAAATCCCTGTTACTGGATCAGCACAGAGGCACAATGAACCCATGTGATCCTACAAACTAGCAGCTGAAGCAAAGAAAACTAAGAAAACAAAGATGTATATGGGGAGAGTAGAGATGTAACGATTACCGGTTTGACGATAAATTATGATAAAATTCCCCACGGTTAGTATTACTGTTTCATCTTTTAATTATCATTAAAACCGTATTGGATTACCGTGAAGGTTATGGGAAAATTCATTTTTCTAGAAGCACCACCTGCTGTCAGCGAGTGGATTTACAGAGACTTATGTTTACATTCAGTCTGTGTGCAGTTTCTGTCTGGCCAAAAACGGACCGAGTTTGCATGCCCTGCTGTAAATTTTGACCGGTTGATGAAAAACAAGCTTACGTGGATTCTACACATTTAAACAATTCAGATAAGTTATCTAGAATTATTTATGGAGCAGATAAATATGTATATAATCGTTTATTAATCAATTATCATTTTGACATATCTTTTCTTTATTTAAAGGCTGAAATGTGAGGTTTACCTTTTTATTAAACTTTTTCAAAGCTTTATTTGAACATTTACATTAGATATTTCAACATGCTATTAAACTGTTGTCAGTCAAGTTGTCATTTAAAATCCGAACAT